TTTATGTATTAGACAAATATAAAAATTGCTAGTTAGGAAAAAAAAATTTGGAACAGTAAAGATAAACAAGATGAAAATGTATGTTTCTGAGCTGAGTAGGTCATCTCTGATCAAAACAGAGATAATGGGGAAATTATGGAGTAATAGGACGATTCAGATAAAGGATGGTTCTGAAAGTGTCTCTCAATAAATCAGGGGTTCTTTAACATTTATCTGCAGCTTTTAAGGACCTCCATAAAGCTGTGAGACTTACAATGTTGAACTAGATCAGTAGACTTTCCAGCCCGATATCAAGGTGTTAACAGCTATTGGTCTAAATGAATCAGTATGAAATTTCCACACAACTAAGATGTGATTTTTCAAATTTACAAATGGTGGGATTCATCTTGCCACACTTGATGGCTATTATGTCTATTTTTGGCTTTTAGCTTTTAGATTTATTTTTATCTATTATGTTTAGGTAAAAGAGATAAGTACCTTCAGAGGATGATCATTCCCACCACTTTAACCACCCTTACATATGTATTTAAAATAGAGTTCCATATATCACCATATATCCATATATGATTTTATGCAGGTCTCCTACTCTCTATTTACTTCAACACTCCTGATAGTCTTGCTTAGTAATGGTAAAATTACTGAAGAGCATGTTCTGATCTTAGTGAATTTATTTTCTTTTGCCTGAAGGCTGAAAATTAATGTCTAGTCATTTTGTGGTACAATTCCATGTTTCTTTATTATCCATCTACCTTTTACATCTTATAAGCAATTTATCCAACTTCTTCCCTTAAAATCCAAGTGCTCAGTAAGATAAATTAAATCTGTGCTATGACTGTCTGGAGTGTTGGTCACTCCCTAGTTTTCAACTCTTTAGGTACTCACCTTTTTGATATGCTTGATTATTTTATTTCCTTACCTTCACTTACAGTTGGAAATCATTAGCAAACTGCTATGTCTCTATACTTTAAATCCAATCAGACTATGGTTCAGTGTAACCTCCTGTGGTTTCTCCTTATATTGATCCACTTTCCTTGAAAACACTAACTTTAATCCTTATGAATGTCATCACTGTTTATTGTTGCATTATGCTAGGAGAACTTATTTGTCTTCATAAGTTACGGATGAAGCAATACTACCCAATTTAGTTGGGTCCTCAATCCAGTGATGGCTTTGAAGATCAATAAGAAAGCTTCCAAATTGTATTACATGGGAATTAGGATAGAACTTATCTTGCAAAGTACAGAAGATACATACTCTGGGGAATTCATGCTACTCAGTAGGTTAATGATGCCTTGTGTCAACATATGCTTTCTTTTATGAGATTTGTAACACTTTTTTTACTTCTTATTTTATCTTTTCTTCCCATACTAGGAAATAAAGGAGAAGCATGGGCATTCAACTGACCTTGACTATTTTATTGATTATCTTATGCATCTCTATTCTAATAATTCTTTCTCAGCTTAGGTGTCTGTTTATATACTTTCACTTCAGTTGAGGATCTGTCTATACTACTTGTTTTCTCTTGTCTAGTCACGCACTATTTTTAAATGTCACTTTCTGCCTGTAAATCTATCTACAGATACTTTTTTCAAATACAGTTTAATATATTGTCTGCATTGATATTCTGTGAAGAACAGGCATTACATTGATCTCTTCTCACTGACATCCATTTCTCCTGCCATAACAGAATTTCCATACATTTTCAGCTCCTCCTTTCAACATGCAATTCTTTCATCTTATCCGCACTACATTACACCCATTATAATGGGTCCTAGTCTATCAGCTATGAATATAGCATATTTATCTATCATGGCAGTATATTTTTATTTTAGGCTACATTCAATGGACATTTTGCATTTTCTAATTTTTCCTAATCTCAGTGAAAACATTTAACAGGGAAAAATGTCAGGCTTGCAGTTAAGACAGTCAAGAGTTGAAATCAATTCTTTCAGCTCAACAGTAAGCTTTCTGTCAGCAATTTCATTAAGTACCTATATAGTATATAACAAAATTACATCCATTCAGTGCTGTAAGAGAACAACAGAAGCAAGCAGTGCATAATCAAAGCTGTTATCTAGTAGAAAAATAGATCACCCATATTACCAGTCTCAAAGGATATTTGTACAGATTTTGTAGTTGGGGAGCTGTAGAAAGCTTCATCTCATTCTTCTATTATGTTCTGTTAACTGAAGAACTGAATTCTGCACTGGTGCAGCTTCACCTTGAGTTCTAGGTGCCATAGTGTAAGAAAGATACGAAACTATTAGAGAGCACCCAAAGGAAGGCTATAAAGATGTGAAAGGTCTGGAGGACAAGATGTATGAGGAGCGGCTGAAGCCCCTCGGTGCGCTCAGCGCAGAGCAGAGGAGCTGAGGGGAGGCCTGACGGCGGCTGCAGCTCCTCACAGGGAGCGGAGGGGCAGCGCTGAGCTCTGCTCTGTGTGACAGCGACAGGGCCCGAGGGAACGGCATGGAGCTGCGTCAGGGGAGGGCAGCTGGGGGTCAGGGAAACGGGCTGCACCACAGGGCGGTGGGCGGGGAACGGGATGCACGGGGCTCGGCCCCGAGTGCCAGAGTTCTGGGGGTGCCTGAACAGTGCTCTCAGACATAGGGTTTGATCTCTGGTGGTCCTGCGTGGAGCCCAGAACTGCACTCAGTAATCCAATTAGCAACACAGGCTAAATACTGTAAATGGCAGAATAGTAGAAAAGATCAGAAATGTGTTGCCCAATCATGAAAATGCATGTGCATTCTCCTTTTCTTAGCATCTCCTTTTGCTTCTAGTCCCCAGCAGCAAATAGTGCAGCAGTTTTGTGACAGTGCAGCAGGTGGTGCTCCAATAGCCCTCGTTTGGAGCAAGAGAACACTCCTTTCCAAAATTAGTCCTGAATGGTTAGCTGCTCTGCAGTCCTATGCTGCCTCAACAGCGGTCATTCTTGCTGATGAATCACATTCTAAACATTGAGCAAGCCACGATGAACGTATATTTTTACTTAATAATTTTGTAAGGTATATATTGCTAAAATTCTAGATGCCTTTGCAATTTTCACCAAATTAAAATGCATTTAATTGATAGTATCTTCTTCAGAATTCATTCTTCCACTCAAACAGAAAACAGTTGCATACAAATTTCTGCTTTGGGGAAAACATGTGATTTTATTAGCATTGCCTGAACATAGCATGACACCTCCTACAGGTCAGCAAGTTCAGTGTGAGCAGCAGCAGGTTGCATTTGGGGTATGTAGGAGACTGCCAAAACTTTCTAGTTGCTCCTCAGTAACTGAATATGTTTATATATCTGAGATCTAACTGTATAGATACTAGGTGGAAAAAAAAAAAAATATATATATATATATATATATGTATATAACAAAATTATATGCAAGAGCAGTAGGAATTCCTAGGGAATATATTTTTTTAAATGTTCTTACATAGCTTTAGAAATAGCTAAGAGTAGATTGGAATCATCCAACTTATGGAAGAGACATACCAATAAGAGAAAAAATCCCATTTAAGAGCTACTAATGTAATTTGACAGACTGTGATATTCTTCGATCATCCCTTATTTAACCTGCTACAGAAAGAAAAGAGCATCTTTCAGCTGTCTTTTGAAATTGAGTCCACTTGTGCTCTCATGACTCCTACTTGCATGACAGTGCAGCAAGGGGCAGATCTTCTATGGGAGAGCAGGAGAGGAAGTGCAGGGGAAGGGGGAGGAAGAGAAGCAAACACAAAGGTCTCTGTGGCTGCTGGACAGACATTGTTGATGATTGCACACTCAATTACTTACACTGTGTGCAGTTACCATCAAAGAACTATCCTCAGTGTTGGAGATACCTATATACAGTTTCTGCAGAATTTTGTTGATAAACATCTCAAATATTCAAAATAAGCAGAGTCTTTGAAGAAACAAACTTCATTCTTCTCCATGCTCAATTGTTAATGAACTGTGTTTTAGAATTAGTCTTTTAGTTTGCACAAATCAATGGTATGCAGATTATAACTCTCCATCACTCTAAGGAGGCATTTAGCTGGGGCCATCAGCTGCAAGAATTATAGTGCATTAGGGATTTGTATGCATGACTTGTTTCTCATTTGTCTTTCCTTGCAAGCCTCCCATCACTGAGAACAGCTGTGCACTGAGCTGCAGAGATCAAGAAAGCCACTGTACTTACGACAGTGCTCTTCTTTTCTCTGTTGCCAAAAGAGAGGTCAGATGTAGCGTATCAATTTATACTATTGCATTCTATTATTCAAATATTTTGATATTTTTGCCTGCATTCTGAAAATAAATTCATCTGTCCAAACCCATTTTCTGTTGAGAAAGTTTAATAGCATTTTAATATTTGTTTTAAATTCACTGTATTTGAATTAGCTGCTAATGTGGCATGCTCTAACTCAAAAGCTTTCAGCAAGCACTCAAACATTTCCCTGTGAGGTTTCCCCATGGGGGAAAGCATGATAGGCATTTCTCTGTGGTAGACTCCCTAGGCCAGCCGTTCTCTATCATCCTGTACTAGTTTCAGGGGCTCTACAACACGCAACATTTAACACACCACTTGTTACGTCTAGCCACAGATTATGAAGCATTTCCTGATAATCAGCAAAGTTGGTCTGTCACAGTCATCGTGGACATTTTGAAATGTTTATGAAGAAAAAGATCCTGTGGTCATCTAATTATATCTTCAACAGCATAAAATTCATGTAGTTTACTAAAATCTAATTTCTTTTTTTAATTCCTGTAGCTGGTGTTGTAATAAAACTTAGCCTTTAGAGAACATCTGGTCTTGGTAGAGAGATCTTCAGTTCCAGCATACTTATGTTTTTTGATTAGTTCTGATTGCTAATTATTTTTACCCTGTGGCTCATTTACTCTACCATGCCAGTTTAGATCCATCACCTATGGACAAAGTCACTATGCCTCTAACTCTGAGATTTGTGCCTGTAAATAAAGGTGTTCTTACTAGTGGAGAGGTAAACAAGAACACCAAGATAAGTTTTATTGACAGATTAACTAGTAAACAATTGTTTTGGCATTTTAAATACATGGCTGGTTTGCCTCATCATTCAGTCTCCACTTAAAAACAAGAAAATCCAATAGCAAATAAGAATTAAAATAGTGTACTCGTGTGTAAAGATAGTTAAAATTGAAAGGATCTATTTTGAATATGCAGGACATTAAGCTGTAAAAAAATCCAAGTCTTTCTTTTTGAAGTATTTAAGCGCTGTAGGTGAAAGATAAATATAAATGTGAACATTCACAATAGAAACAAAAGTACCTTTATAAATAACTGTTCTCTCGTTCACACTGCTAAGATCAAAATTAAAACACAGCTCATGGCTCACAGCAAACATACGAGGGAGATTTGAAGGTAGAATGCTGGAAGTTTTGACACAAAGTCTTTGAGGTATCTAAAGTAACTCTTAAATTTGAAGCATTTAGAAAGCCTTTCATGCCTTCCTAGAACAAACTAGTTAATGAGAATGTTAAAATATTACAAAAGGCTTACATGTGAAAATGTTACTGAAATGAGATAAACAATAACTCTAGATGAGAATAGCAATCTGAAATTAAGTGGAAGGATCAATAAACTAAAGAGAGCAGATTGAGAACATTGAGTAGCTGGAGAAAGATGTCTCATTCAGTATATGAAAGGGAAAAAGAATATGTTAGTGTTTATTGTTCACTAAGGTCAGTGGAAATAATAAAACAAAGCTTACTATTAAAAAGCTGTTTTTAATTGATTGTAGAGCACATTATAGTGCAGTCTTATGATCAATGCAGTTGCCACCATTTCCCTAGATTTGAATGCGTAGCTTTCTAAGAATGGATAAAGGTGATGGTGTAGTTGGAACAAAAAGTTGCCGACTACTGACAACTCATAGCTGTTTGACAACAAACCCTTGACCACAAATGTTGTTATGGCTGGAGGTAGTGGAACATCATGATCTAGGGCACTACCTGCTCCTGCTCACTTGGGAGGTAAAATGGAAAATGAAAGGAGCTGGAAAAAAAAGCATGGATGAGCAGTTACAGACCATGGAATTTAAATGATGCATGCGGCTCCCTACCATTTCCCTGTGCAACTGCTCTTGCAGCATGCTGGACCTGTGATTGTAGATCCTAGAGAGATTAAATTCTGGTAACTGCAGCTCCCACAATGCACAGAATCACACTGTGTCAAGGATTGAAAGGGACCTCAAAGATCATCTAGTCCAATCCCCCTGCCTTAGCAGGAATGCCTTGATTAGGTCACACAGGAACGCTTCCAGACAGGTTTTCAATGTCTCCAGAAAAGGAGACCCCACAACCTTCTGGGCAGCCCATTCCACTGCTCTGTCACCCTCACAGTAAAAAAGTTTTTTCTCATGTTTTTGTGGAACCTCCTGTGTTCCAGCTTGCACCCATTGCCCCTTGTACTATCACTGCATGTCACTGAGAAGAGCCTGGCTCCATCCTCCTGATGGAGGATGGAGGATCCTCCTTTACACGTTTATAAATGTTGTTGAGGTCACCCCTAAGTCTCCTCCAAACTGAAGAGGTCCAGCTCCCTCAGCCTCACCTCGTAAGGGAGATGCTTCAGTCCGTTAATCATTTCTGTGGATCAACAACAAGGCCAAGCAGCTGCTGATGAAGGTAATGAGTTGGTTTCAGTGCTGGAAATTAAGTTTTAAGAATTTTGGAGGATGTTCTTACCCAGAGGTTTCAAAGGTATTCCAGAGAAAGTAAATGAGGTACTATGATAGTGGCACCCTCTCAAGGGTCCATAAAAGCCTGAGGTCCGGGAACAGGTGATTCACTGCCTGGCTGGGGTGATGACTCTAAAGGGGCAGGGGAGCAGCCACCTGTGGGCAGACAGGCTCTGACTCAGTCAAATGCTGCGTAAACAGCAAAGGGGGTAAAACTCTCAGTGTTCTATTACATTTAGCTGAAAGAGTCTGGGGAGTAGAATCCGCTACTGAACTTTTTCCATTCTGTCAGTACGTAGGGACAGGGTACACAGCCTTTTTCTATCACGATTGGGCAGCCTGCATTCAAACACAAAAGGTTATGTAATTCATTCAGTCACTGTGTAAAAGGGTAATTCTTTGTAGCTAGGCTGTGCTTAGCTCACAGTGAGTCATTTTTAGGAGGAGAGATCATACACATTGTTAAAAATAAGCTTTTGAAGACAGCAGTTCTTTCATGCCAACTATGTCCTGTTTAGATCAGCGGATTAAACAACCCAAGGCTGTAAGTAAAAGTTTCTCAGTGAATCAAAAAAGAAAAGGGACAAGTTTCACTCCTAGGTTCTGAAAGGGAGTCATAGGATTGGCATTACCTCTTAAAAAATTAGGTTCTAAAAATCTTTAAGCGTTTTTACAGAAAAAAAAAGAAGTTTTCATTTTGCATCTGAATGACAGCATTTGCTTTGTAACTCCCTAAAAAGAGAATGTAGCAAACAAAAGGCAAAGAGGCAACAATCAAATATGTGAAATGACTCATCTTCAAATGAGAAAAGAAGCCAATTTCTGAACAGCATGGACTTATGGAAAATAAAATGTTTGCCTTCAATTTTTCAGGCCATCCCGCCATTATCATTCAGCAATCAGAAGCTGCAACATAGAGTGAGGTTGCTGTAACATGGCTATGAAAGCTCACAGTGCAACGGTTCTTTCCTCTGCTTGTGCTTGCTCTTTATTTCTGTTACCTAGTAAAACTAATTATTCCACTCTCTATATGATCCTTTACACATTTTTTGTTAGCTATGACCCTCAGTGCTACCTGTGACCACCTTATCCATCTTTGACAAATTCACATCTCTTAGATCTGTCACTCTCTGAATCACTTTTTTTCTATTTACCTTTCTCAAACTGATTTGCTTTCTGCCTGAGTTACTCTATATCTTGTTACTTACTTTCTTCTTTTGTTTCCTAGTGGAAAGATTTTCTGTTTGTCTGATTCACCCTTCTGTTTTCACTTCTCATTCTTTCTCATCGTCATTATTTTGTCAGTTTTTGTTTTCATTCTGTGATTTATCTCCTATCCTGACTGCACAGAGCAGCATCTTTTTAGTTAATTCATTTCCTATTGATTCTTAATCTTTCCTTCTCTTTCCTCTCCATGACTCAGCTTCTGTTTCCCATAGTTTATGTTTTTATTGTATTCAAAGGTATTTTTTGCTTATTCAGCATCAACTACTGAAACTTTCAAAGGGAGTGAATACACATAGATGGCTCTGTGCTGAATAGGATGATGTCAGCTACACAGCTTCTGAAAGCACATTTCATTCCACTGACTTGTCAATAGTTAGAAACAACAGAACAATTCAGTCTTTTATATCTGTAAGATATAGCTCCTGCATTAGTCTGCTGCTATTTATTTCAATTTTATTCCCCTTAGATCTTGCAATTATATGGGAAATTGATGTAGCTGTTTAAAAGAAATACATTGCATGATTCTGCAAAAATAAACCCCAACCCATTTAATGACAGCCAATGATCATGGAATCACCTCTTTAAATTAATTAGTAAGTCAACAGCATTACAATTTGCAAAGCAATTATATTTACTTTCAGCTTTGTAGACATCTTTCAAACTTGCAGAAATGTGGATTATTTTCAAAGCAGCATGTCAGCATTGCAAGACTATAACTACTATATGAATGGAGCATGCTACTGCTTTAATCTCAGTTATTGAAAAAGTTGCAGTACTGCAAGTATCATTTAACAAATGATAGATGTCCTCTTTCTCTCTTCTACTCGACCTCTTTGATCTTAGTAGAATTTCTTTCAGCTCTAGTATCCCATCTTACAGCACACCTTCCCACACAGTTCAATTTTCTGCATACTACCATGATGTATGACACTATAAGAGAGAGATGTGAAGGATATGTATGTTTCGTGTTGATTCACGATTGAATGTTTGAGTCTCAGTGGAAAATTTAAAAAAGATTCAGTTCCGGAATTTCAAGAAAGAATCGCAGCCAATGGTTTGATTTATTAGGCAATTGAATGGAGCTTTCCAATTCAATTTCTCATTTAATACTTTTATTATAGTTTATTCATAGATTATTTCCTTTGGAGACAGTATTAAATCTTCTAGTCTGACTTTCATTATAGCACAGGCTATTAAACTTTACATAAATACTTTTATAGAGGCCAGTAACTCCTAAAGGAAATCTGAATCATCTTCCAAGAGATATTCACTACTGATTTTATAACATCAACAGTGAAAAACTCCATCTCCTCTGACAATTGTTCTTGTTGTTTGACAGACTCACTGTTAACAAAATAGCAAAATAGATATGTGCCCAATTTTTTATTTTGAATATTTGTTGTTTTCGCTTGTTCCCCCTGGGAAGCCTTTAATGCTTAGTACAGCTTCCTTTTGAATGTACTTATACATTCTTATTAGGACACCTTCTATTTGATAAGTGAAAGTTAGACATAGCTCTCAGGACTTACTTTAGTACTGGGTTATTTCTGATGAACAATCTCCAACTTAATTCTTAACCCATGTTAACAATCATGTTGGAAGTCTTTGTCAGATATTCTGTGTATTTACTCAGTGGCTCGATACATAAGGAGTTATGTATATATACTTCACATTCTTTGTGTTGCTATAATTTCTTTTTGCATCCAGGCACAAACATAAGTGTAGCAGTGGCTAGAATGTTCCTGAGACTAACTGACCAAAGGAAAAATTCCAACCTTCATCCTATGTAGGTGAGTGATACAAGTGAACATAAAAATCTAATTTGAAGGCACCAGTACAAAATCTCGTTTGCGAGATTACATAAATATATATGTATAGATCTTGTTCAAAGGCACCAACAATCTGATTGACAGAATAACACCACAGAAGAAGAAAGTCAAGGCCATTGATGCAGTGATGCAACAATGATGTCTGGTACAGTGAAATATTTTCTTCAAACTTGAAGTCACTTTTGTGCTTCTTCTCCCCTTTTCTTTCAACTGTCTTACAAAGTGTTGAAACCACAACTGCACACACCAGGAATTTTGTGTAGAGAGGGAGAATTGCCTCCATATTCCCTCTATATAGCTCTCGATTTTAAACACCATAAAAACTTTTTATAGCAGATAAAACAAGGAAGTAATATGCCTTCCCTACTAAAACCTGCCATTGTTTTCCAGGATCCAGATTCTGTCCTGTTAATTAAAGTCTACCATCTTATTCCTCATCCTTGTCCTTCTGACAGTTTGTGTGTTTTGATGAGCTCGGCATCCTCCCTTGCAATCCGGAATACTGTGTTTAGTTGATTAGAGTTTGTTTGTTTGATTGATTGACGCTTGCATTCATTGCCTCTTCGGACCACTCACAAAGGTTAACACCACTGATTTTTTAATTTTTTATTTTATTTTTATTTATTTCTACTAATAGACTTAATGAAGAACACAGAGCTGATGAAAATGAAGTTAAGAACTATGACTACTCTCTAGAGACATTTCCTAAAAATGCTATCATCAGTAATAACTCCTTGCTGATAAGTACTTTTGAGACCTGTAAGACAGTTCTTAATCCATTTAAGGATGTACTTTACTGATACTGCAAATCCTTATACTTTTATCAACATGTCATGTATAGCAAATCAAATGCTTTGCAGAAATAACCTACATATTGCCTTCAACAATAACTGTAATAAATAAAAAAATAAAGCCTGTTTTTCATAAAAATTTTACTAAGCTTAATTATAAATGATATTAATATTGTTTATTAATTATAAATCTTCCATTTTATATTTTATCAAAAGAACTTTTATAATTTGTCCACCATTTTGCCAAGAACTGGTGTTACCTAGCACATCTCTTTTGACCTGCTCATCCCTCTTGACTTCTTGGATATTCACAAAATACCAGTATGATTTTTATCTTCAAAATTATCCATATGCAAAGAGGAATCCTGACATTTGAAGGAGACAGTCCTAAAAGTCACTGATTTTAGGACTCTGGGGTGTGAGCTATCTGGGCTTGTCAGCAAGACATTTTCTCAAGATAATATGTCATTTAAAGTCCACATTAGCTACTAATGGTGCAATTAATCTCACCTAAATTCTTCTAAAATTAGTTGTCTAAGTTACCTAGGATCCCCTGAATCGAGAAAGAAAGATAAGATCCTGCATAGACCTAACTGATTCCATCTATCCTGATATAACTTGAAGATAATCAGATAAATTTAAATATGTACCTGTAACATATTTCTATAAATACATAAATATTGATAATACTAGGTAAAAAAAAACATTACATAGATACATATCTTGCAACACTTTCTGTGAAGAGAATTCTGAGGAATCCTAAAACAAGTGTGAGGGTGAGACCAAACAAACACCAGTCATGCTTTTAAGGACTATTGTCTTGATGTCTGCTAAAGAAAACCAGGCATGTTCCATGAGATCCAGACAAGGGGTCACATAACTTACAGTGTGTACAAAATCAAACATGTACAGACATCTTCCAGCCCAGAAGGCCAACTGTGTCCTGGGTTGTATCAAAAGAAACATGACCAGCAGGTCAAAGAAGGTAATTCTGCTTTTGTGAGACCCCACCTGAAGTACTGCATCCAGTTCAGGGGTCCCCAACACAAGAAGGACGTGGAGCTGTTGGAGCAGGTCCAGAGGAAGGCCACGAAGATGATCAGAGAGGGCTGGAGCACCTCCCCTACGACGACAGGCTGAGCGTGCTGGGGCTCTTCAGCCTGGAGAAAAGAAGACTCTAGGGGCACCTTGTATGGAAGTGGCCTTCCAGTACCTGAAGAGGACCTACAGGAAAGCTGGGTAGAGATTTTTCATAACGGCATGTAGTGATAGGGTAAGGGGAAATGGTTTTTAAAAGAGCGGGGGTAGATTTAGACAAGATATTAGGAAGAAATTATTTACGGTGAGGGTGCTGAGACACTGGAACAGGTTGCCCAGAAAGGAAGGTGGATGCCCCTTTCCTGGAAGCATTCAATGCCAGGCTGGATGGGACTTTGAGCCACCTGGTCTGTGGGAGGTGTCCCTGCCTATAGCAGAGGATAGTTGGAACTAGATGATCTTACCCAAATGATTCTATGATTCTGTGAATTATAGAAGCTGTTCCTGACTTCATGGTGGGAGCCTTCTTTAGTAGCTGTGTGTGATCACCTGCTTCAAAACTAAGCACGCAGAAGTGAGCTCAGTGGTGATCTGCTGATCTGCACTGCAACTGCAAGAGTTGTTTATTATGGTGTGCAGACCTGATTCTTTCCTGAGGTCCGATTGTAATTTAGATGCTGCAGATGGTAAATAATATGGACAGTGTAGCCAGTTATGTTTTTCCTGAAAATCTGATGGAAATTTGTCACATACTGACTGCAGGTCATGTTCAGATATCCAAAAAAGGAATGCAATGAGAGATTACTGAAAATGAAGTGAGGCAATAACCTGTCCAGAAATGGAAAGAGAGCAGTAGAAACAACAATTCAAAAGGATCATAATCATTGTTTATCCAACTCTAAGAAAGGAATAATTCCTTGCCAGTTAGAACCATGATTCAATTAGGTTCTAATCTACAGACAGAGAATGCCTTCTGTGGCCAGTTAGGAAACATAGACCAAGTTCTTGAAGGCATGGATATTGACATGAAGTTAGGGAATCAAAAAAACATGAGCAATTTAGAGTGTTTGGGAAACAAAATGAAAACAGAGTCCAAGCCCGTGAGTACTTGCAAAATTTATAATAAGAAGCAGAAGGATATAAATTGTGGGAATGTGATGCAATCACAGAAGGGTTATGGATAACAGCTGTGTTATGAGATTTCCGGGAAAAGGAAACTAGTATGGAAAGGAGCTGACACTTCCCAGAAGAAGGAGTGACCTAAACCAAAAATTAAGTGAGGCACAGGCTGTTGTTCAGATTATACTATAAAATAAAAGGAAACATCATAAAGATTGCATCCAAAAAAATCAACTGAAAAATAAGTTATCAGTAAAACTGGACATGGCACAAATCAGTTAAAGTGGAATTAGATGCCACTCAGCTTAGAGCTATAGCAAAGGAAAAAGAGGCCTCAGCAGGAAAGCTTGTGAAGTTGCAATAATTAACTGTATGTACATTGTCTCTTGAGTCCAAACTAAATTAAATTTTTATGATACTTTTGTTGAATTTAGTAGTCTGGTTAGACCAATGATTTTCACTTTTAAGCACGTCAGAGTATATCCACAAGTGCTTTGGTTAGAAATAGTCTAAACAAAAAAGGATCTGTGTGATATAATCACAGTGATGTTGACGTGAATCTTCATTCTTCAACTCCTAAAACAATACCTTGTATTTTGTTAATTAGGATGAATTTTTTCAGAATCTCAGCTATGATAAACAAGTATTTAGTCCCATTTGTGTTGGCCTGTATTGCATATGTTGCTCGACTGGCTCTACTAACGATGATGCTAAATCCATCCAGTTTACACAAATCCATGTGTTTCTTGTGTAAACTTCTGAAACTTTGTCTCCTATTTCCCACTACTGTTCCTGTTTGTGACTATTATCTGTTTATTTATTCATTCACAATCACTCTCTAACTGTTCACCTACACTTCCAGCAAAGTTATTCTGCAGCGTCTCTAACCAGTGATCAGTTAAAAGCTCATGGTTGCCTTCAGCTATCAACTGCTTACAGCTGCCTTTGTTGTGTCGTTCTGTTGTTTGTTTTTTTTTTCCAGTTCTCTTCAAGGCAAAGTCTCAAGAAACATAACAGTGGACCACAGTGGTTGCTCTTACAGTATGTGAGTATGGTAGACAGCTTCTCATCCCATTTCTTATTGCTGGCTTTTATTAATTTTCAGAGAGCTCTGTTGGTCATTCTGCTGGTACATTCCATTTGTCCAGAACTTTGGCGTGCATGACACATTATATAATTGCATTGCAGTTAACTGTGTGATGGCTCTTTTCATGAGAACAGCTTTCATCCGCTTTGTAAGTGGGCCAAAAGTAATTAAATGGTATTAGTTCCCCCAAGCGGTGATCCAAATGGGTCCTGTGTAATCAGCCTGCACCCTGCCTCCCCAAAAAATACCTTTACTGCAGCTGGATTTGTCTTGGATTTATTAGAGCATTTACAATAGCTGATGCTAGTCAGGCATGCAGCTATTTTCTGTACCTTGGCAACCATCACACCATAATAACTCCATCTAACATTAGAGGATAAGCTTATTCATGTACAGATCAAGTCAGTGTACCAGAGCTCATCCTCACAGACCATCTTCTTCTGCTCGTATTACTTCCTTTTATTAGAAAAATACCAACTCCTGTTTTAGAAGAGAGTCTAAGAACCCATAAGTCCAGCTTTCCAAAGACATTGTGGAAAGTCAAGTCATTCAAATTTGGAGTGGAAAGATACATATGTTTCAAATTAACTCAAGTAACAATTCCATTAAATTTCTTAATTATTCAACTGGAATATATGCTGAGCAAAACCTGTTCAAGCAATGGACTGAGAAATATTTGAAAGTGAAAGGGAGAGGTAGCATTTTAAGTACTTTGTTAGGAAATTTAAGTGAAGTGAACGGAACACTGAATACTGTAGACCTTGAATACTTTGGGAATGAATTATCACTGATGGGCAATGATGTGATTAAAGCATTTCTATAGAGAAATGAAAGGCTACAGATTTCGGTACACAGCCAAGGAGAATTATTGCTCCTTGGAAAAGCTGTGTTTTCATTAGCTTCAAGTGCTATACTAATTGCAGATGAATGTTGTTGCAATATTATTACATCCATGCACTTTGCTGATATTAAAATACATTATTTCAGGGAATAATAGAAGCAAAAATAAACTAATGCAGTACTGAAAAGTCCACCACCCTAAACTGTTATTAGAAGATGGAAAATCATCAAGTGTATCTTTACAACATAGTAGTCTATGTGGAGCTGTATTGCAGATATATGTTAAGGACCACACATATACAACGACCTTTGGAATGGCAAAATTCATACTTCGTCAAAAACAGGTGTTCCTCAGGAAGGAGCTGGGTGGGTAGTTTCAGAAAGGTATTGTGATGGCATTTTTGCTGTACAGAAATGGAAACACTCATTATAAAGAGTTATTCTGGTCCAAAAGTCAACTGGTATAGATCTTAAAAAAGATGTACTGCAGTATCTTCAGAGTAAGACAGCATTGTAAAGTTGAAATTCACATTCTACAGTAAGTTTTCTGTTCAGTACTTATGTTTCAAGTGTACAAGCAAACATCATTCTGGAATCATAATAAGTGAAAATTACACATAAACCTTCCAAGTAGATGACAACTACTACTGTAACAGAAACAATGGGAGCAGAATGGAAAAAAATGTAAAAGAAAGCTTTTTCTTATGAATTTGTAGTGAAGCAATCAGTGATAGTCTCAGCAAATCAAGAAGAAAATTGAAAATCATTAGCAAGAAATTACAGTATGGGCATCAGAGGTGAAGAGACAGTAATTCTTGGTGGGACAGGCAATTCTGTTAAGTGTATCATTTCATTCATTACTGAGCCACTAGCAACGCTGTTGTATACATGCTAGTAATTTGTTACATTTATTATCTTAAGATTACTTTCAACAAGGTACAGAAAAGTCAATACTTTATGATGTAAATATAGAATGCTTCTTGAACAGGACAGTGATTATAGGAAGCCTAGAGAGTGAACAGGTTCAACTGCACTCTTACAGTGATTGTGATTTGAACAGGTCACCATGAAGGAGAGAATTATTGCAGCCTGAAGAGAAGCTAATAAATCTGAGCACGTACCAGTAACATTTCTAAAATATACAGATATTAATGATACACGGGTGACAAGTACTATATCTATGTAAAAACACTTTCCTGAGAACAGTGCTGCATACAGAGAATTTTCAGGAATTCCTTTCTTCATTTACCACTGAATGAAAAATGTCAAGCAAAACTTACCTGACTTCTTACTTGACTATGGAATCAATCTATTAATAGGTTCACTTCACAAATATGGGGATTTTTTTTTTCCTAGCCCAGCATATCATGTCACGCAAGTTTTCTCAAATTTAGAAATACATCTGCTATTTAACAAATGCACATAAACTAAATAACATATAATGCTGAATGGCACTGTCCATAGTTGGTTCATCATAAACGTACTAACACTTCCAGTCCCAAGGTAACCATAAACTCCAAGCCCAGAGATAACTCACTTTATTGTAACTGCCCCATTGGAGTTCAAAATAGACCTGTGATGAAGGAATTAACTTGTCCTGACTTTATTGGATCAGACACTGGATTTCACTGCAATCCTAGTTAAGATTAGCTACTGCCTGTAAACAGACTGCAGGTCAGGGACCAGCTTGCTCTCTCATCTCAGCAAAGTGAAGCTCCCTCAAAGGAGCTGCCTGAAATGTATCACAGCTGCTGTGAGAGGTTGCTGAGCTGCCAGAAACCTCACTCAAAGGAACAAAGGCCTGGATGAGAAATTGCTGCCCAGAATAATATTAGGGTAAGAATAGTAATGCTTCACGCTTCTGAATGGCCTTCACCTTTGGGTCTGAAGTTAATAGGAAAGAGAAAGAAAAGCCTTTTGAGGCATATCATTCCATCTGATGCTGTTCCTTTGAGTTTAGTGGGAGGAGTGTAAAATGTTGGCAACTCAGAGATCAAAGACCTACAAGCATAAACTGTGAAAAGCAGGGCCGAAGTGCAGCAAGTCAGACATACTGAAGATAGACACAGAAATGACTTGCTAAATTATTTAACAGTATGAGTAATGTTTTGTCTTCATGCTGCCGCTTTTTATGGCATCTAAATCAATTTGTTTCCCTAAATAGATTCTGGTGCTTTTCTGCAGTAACTGGAGATTACTTCCACCTCTTTAGCTCTATCAGTAAAAAATGAAATTAGCTTTATCACTTCACTGTAATTTTTTAGCAAATTACATAATTAAGAAACAATATCTTGGTTGAAAATATGAAATGGCAAAAGCTATGTTCATGACTATGAGGCAGTGCAGAATCACCTAGAATTCTGTACCTTTAAAATAGCCTGGGTTATTCCTTTTTCCCCTATAGTCTTATATAGGGTTTTTATTATCCACAGAATAATGAAATAACTGAGTAGAGTCAGCTGTAACTTGCTTCACTGAAAACCGGTGTCCACAACAACTGTGTTTTCCCAGCACACTTAGGAGTGTGTTTTTACACCATAAGATGCACTGTTTGTATATATAAGATTGGACTTCTTTCTTCTTCCTACAGAGGTCTCTAGGACCCTTATGGACATCAGTACCACTGAGAACTCTGACAGAAGAGCTGCAGTCTGCCAAAGCACTTGACAGTAATCTCTGCCTAAGAGCCATCTCTTCTTCCAGAGTCTGTCCCCCTCAGAGAAGAGCTGGCAGAGTGAGGTATGTGCACATACTCCAACTCCTCTGGAGCAAATGCTTAAACTGCCAAGATGGGCTTGAGCTGTGGCATCAAGCTGCAAAGCAAAGTAACTGGAGAATGCTTGCTTCAGCCAGCTTCACAGCAGGATGACAACCTTTGGTAGTCTGAATAAGCCAGGAGGTGTATAGTGCCATCAATAACTGCCTTAGCCAGATATTGCCTACATTCCTTTCAAAGCTACATTACAATACTGAACTTACAGACAGCTACCTATATGAGTGCACAGCTCCCTAAAATGCATGAGAATGCCCTGAACTGGGTCCAGATGCAATTTGCCTATCATTAGAAAAGGCATAACCGAGAGATCCTGCTGAGGGCTTTCAGAAGGAAGGAGAAGGCCCTGAGTACTGCTAATGCAGGGCTGCTGTGGTTCCAGCACACAGCTGATGTTCATGCATGGTGAGCATGCTGCCTTCCTATTGAGTGCATTAGTGTCAGTGCACTGCACTAGCACGCACACCTTTGCAGAGCAGCTGTACAGAACACATGCAATAGCTGATGCCATGCATGAATTGTACAGGCTGTCAGACACTTGGAAAAGCAACCAGTATGAAAATATGGGGACAAAGACTGTATTCTATCTCATTTTAGGGGACATAGTCTATAGTCTGAAAGGATTATACAAAGCCTTCATAGTCTGGACCCTGACATTCACCAAGGCCCCAATGAAAATCATTCTCCTTGTATCTCAAAAGTGAATGGGTGAATCATCTGACCCACGGACACTGATTCACATGTGGCTGGGAGAAGAGATGCAGAGAAACCTCTTTTTACAGCATCCCTCCTGCTTCTGGTAACTTGCTATAGATATAAAGCACGTATCAAAAAGTGTGATGGCAACTAACAGTGATGAAAACCCTGGAATGACTTGCATGCACAAGGGAAGGACCAGTGCTGCCTTGCTGTGGTGATGTGAAGAATACAGACCTGAGCAGGAACAGCTCTTTTGTCACGTGTATTTCAGGTGTCTGTAAGTGTGAGATAACACTTACTCCACAATTACACCTGAAATATGCATCTCTTGGGTCTTCCCAATAATAAAACAAGAATAGTACGGAATCATATCTTTGTGATATCGCACATGCAAATTATCTTACTTCAACCAGTATGTGTTTGGATCCTCACAAATTAATGAATATGATAGTAACATCCCTAATGGTTTTCCCTTAGATCAACTAACACGCTTTTAGTACATCTTTGTTAAAGCAACACAATATTCTTGTACATACAGAGCAGTATTTTTTCAATTGGCAAGGCCATTTTAGACACCAGACATGTGAATATACTTTTCCATTTGAAACACATTGAAACACTCTTACAGAGGTTATAAAATACCACAAGCTCTCTTAGAACTTACATGTCAGCAGTGTAATTAAAAATGTGATGCATCAGCTTTTAGAGTAGTTTCCCAGAACCAGAAAAAAAAAAAAAAGATAATAATAGAAATGCAGAGAACAGCTTGAAACACAGCTGAATTTATTTTAGAATAGACCCTCATGCAAGACTGAGCTCAGATTGTGTTAATGCTGCTGGCATTTGCCAGAAGGTTACTGTGATGGCTTGTTCACATGGAAAATTAAGGCAATAAAAGGTAAGATGTTATTCTAAAATGCTATAATGGCATTAATACAAATTCATATGTGAGCACCCTTATCTCATTATAGAAAGTTATTTTTTTCTAGTTTTAGCAGTAATTTCTTCAGCACTTATTTCAAACCAGAAAATCCCCTCTCGCACTGGAATATGCATATATATCCAGCTATGCTGACACAGCCATGGTTTTACCTTCAAAGTTTCCTGAGAAAACTTTCAGAATGGAAAGTAGTTGTCATTGTTATTATCTTTAATTTTTCTGATGTAATTGTGCCTTCAGAAAGAGCATATTAGGCGACATACACCTACATTTCCAATCAACAAATCTGCGGAGTTTTCTATACCGCACCTGCTGTTTTTATCAGTACTCTCAGCTAAAATCCAAGTATCAGTGGTTGGTTGTTTGGGGTTTTTTGTTGTTTTGAAAGTCACAGCTTTTAGTATCGCTGAGATTAATGTAATATGCAAGATCTTGAATAACTCTCTCTCTAATGAACTATTGTACTAGCTTATTCTTCTTCCTAGTCAGTGATCCTGGGCAATAGGTATGTAAAAATGTCACAGAATTACAGAATGGCCAGAGTTGGAAGGGACCTCAAGGATCATGAATCTCCAACCCCCTGCCACGTGCAGGGCCACCAACCTCCCCATTCAATACTAGACCAGGCTGCCTAGGGCCCCATCCAGCCTGGCCTTGAGCACCTCCAGGAATGGGGCATCCACAACCTCTCTGTGCAGCCTGTGCCAGCACCTCACTGCTCTCTCTGTAAAGAACTTCCCCTTGCCATCCAACCTAAACCTCCCGTCCCTCAACTTAAAACCATTTCCCCTTGTCCTGCTGTTATCTACCCTTGTAAAGAGTTGACTCCCCTCCTGTGTGTAGGCTCCCTTTAGGTACTGAAAGGCTGCAATGAGGTCACCCCACAGCCTTCTCTTCTCCAGGCTGAACAAGCCCAGCTCCCTCAGCCTGTCTTCACAGGGGAGGTGCTCCAGCCCCCTGATCATCTTTATGGCTCTGCTCTGGACCCTCTCCAACAGCTCTCTGTCCTTCTTGTACTGGGGGCTCCAGACCTGGACACAGTACTCCAGAGGGGCCTCACAAGAGCAGAGTAGAGAAGGACAATCACCTCCCTGTCCCTGTTGGCCACCTCTCTTCTGATGGAGCCCAGGATGCCACTTGCTTTCCGAGCTGCAAGAGCACACTGCTGGCTCATGTTAAGCTTTTCATCCATCAGGACCCCCAGGTCCTTCTCTCTAGAGCTGTCTACATATGACAGATGAAAGATGACATACAGCAAGGCAAATAAGTGTCCTTTGATGGTCTGTTCTGAAAGGCCGGTGTTCAAAAACAGGACCTCTTCTGTATTTATCCCTCTCATCTTTCACAACCCAGATATATAAAACACGTTACTCACCCTACTAAGTGAGTTTCTAATTTTCTGTATGTTACTGTTACAAATGTAACAGACAAAACTGTAAAAAAATAAAAGTGCACTGTTACCATTTCATAAACATACAAGTCACAAAATGCTGTCATCATTATTCCTAGCTCATATCAGGTCCTCTTTGCTTTTAAAATCCTGTCTATTACTCTCATAGCTGAACAACTTCCACTTGAAACCACTGTTCCCAGCAGCGAAGACCTCAGGGCATTTCATGCAGTATCTGGTCTCCCTCAGGTCTCAAGATATATACCTGCACTTCAGTTCTTAGTTTATTCCCTATCTTAGCCTTTTATTACTACCATTGTTTTGACTACAAAGCTGAGGCCTGGCTTAGGCAGGATGTAGCAGTAAGCATGTGAACAGGTTTTCTCAGGAAGAAATACGACGTGTGATCCTCAGGCCATGCAACCTCATAGCACTGTGTGCTTTGTCTTCTGATCTGCAAGCTCCACCAGTCCACAGGAGACCAGCTGTCTTAGTAGCTCACAGCCTGAAATTCAGCCTTTCACATTGTTTGGCCTTGTTTTTTCTCAGTCGCTTCAAGATTTAGTTCTGATGTCTTCAATGAATATGAGAAATACCCTGGGACTGTCTGAAGGAATTAGACAGCAAACTTAGCACAGAAGTCTAGGTCTAACACCACTGAGGAATCAAGCCATTATGTGTCAAACCTGGAGGATGGCAAGCTCGACTCACACATCTCAGGAAATCAATGAATTGTAATGGTGACAGGTCTGCCGTGCGTTACAACATGCTGCAGCCAGGACCCACTGGGTAGGCGCCTGCAAAGAATATTTCACCCTTCTGTTCTTCACATTCACTGCTGAAAGTCCTTTTCTGATTGACTATTTTACTTCCCTGGCTTGGGTGGGTGTTGAGTTGGGTGGGGGGAAAATGGAATGAAATGCACCAAGGGCAAGCTAGAGGCTTGTGTCTAGGCAAGAGCAAGGCCAGGTACCAGTATAGGTTGGGGGCTGACCTGTTGGAGAGCAGCGTAGGGGAAAGGGACCCGTGGGTCCTGGTGGACAGCAGGGTGACCATGAGCCAGCGCTGTGCCCTTGTGGCCAAGAAGGCCAATGGCACCCTGGGGCATACTAGAAGGGGCATGGTTAGTAGGTCAAAAGAGGTTCTCCTGCTTCTCTGCTGTGCCCTGGTGAGACCGCATCTGGAGTATTGTGTCCAGTTGTGGGCCCCTCTGTTCAAGAAGGACAGGGAACTGCTTGAGAGAGTCCAGCACAGAGCCACAAAGATGAGGAAGGGACCAGAGCATTTCCCTTACGAGGAAAGTGTGAGGGAGCTTTGGCTTGGAGGAGACTGAGAGGTGACCTACTGAACGCTTCTAAATATGTCAAGGATGTCTGTCAGGAGGATGGAGCCAGGCTTTTCTCAGTGACATCCAGTGACAGGATAAGGGCAACGGGGACAAGCTGGAACAGAAGAGGTTCCACGTGAATGCTAGAAAAAAGCTTCTTCATGGTGAGAATGGTCACAGAATACTGGAACGGGCTGCCAGAGAGGTGGTGGGGTCTCCCTCTCTGGAGACATTCCAAACCTGCCTGGACGCATTCCTGTGTGACCTAACCTAGGTGTTCCCAGCAGGGGGATTAGATTAGATGAGCTTTTGAGGTTTCTTCCAATCCCTGACATTTGGTGACTCTGTGATTCTGTAACTGGTATGGAGAAGAGACAGCAGCTATTAAAATGAAGACTTGGTTAAAAAAAAAAAAAGAGTACTATTTATTAATTAATTAATTTATTTATGTATTTTTAATAAATAATACAATTTTTAAGCTCATCTTCCCTTTCTCTTTTCTCTTCTTCTCTTTCTCTTTCTCTTTCTCTTTCTCTTTCTCTTTCTCTTTCTCTTCTCTTCCTTTTCTCTTTTCACTTCGCTCTTCTATCGGCTCCACCGTTGTAGACAAAACTCCCTTATTCTCCTCCACATCTCGCTAGAAAAAGGAGAATCACAAGTTGTGACTGGGAAATTGCTGTGTTTCCTCCCGGGAAGCATTCCTCCTTACTTCCTCTGACAGAGGCAAGCTACAACTGGGGCTGCACCAACAGCAAAGGCAGGAGTGCCGATACCTGTCTGTGGGCCCAAGCAGCCGGGAGAAGTTGTCAATCATGACCTCTTTGTGGCAGCAGATGAGGATGACCACCGCCTGGCACAGGAAGGGCATGAACGTGCTGTGCTGCGCGGATGATGTGCAGCTGCGCAGGATGTGGAGGATTGGTAGCACCTGAAAGAAGAAGGGCAGAAAGAATGACTTGCTGCATCCTGGACTCTGCAGGGCCTAACGATGGACATTCAGCACATGAGCAGTGCCTGCTCCCTTGACATGCTGCCAAGGCCTGAGCCTAAATTGCACGCCAGCCACCCTGTCCAAGCCCTGGCTCTGCCCTCCGGCTGTGCTTCTTTAGCACAGGAGGCAAATGGCACAAGGCGTAGTGCAACAGCCAGCGAAAGTCCAAGAGAGGTGGAAGAAAGTCTCTTACGTCCCGACAGATGTCCTTCCCGTACATCTGCAGAAAGGTGATCATCCACTTCCCAGCTGCACGCACGCGCATTCCTTTGCCTTTCCGCAAGGTCTCCTTGATGGCCATCAGGAAGTCAACGGTGCGTTCCAGGGGGAAGTTGCTGCACACCATCTGCAGAGAAAAGAGAAGCAGGAGAGATCTCATCACTGCTCTGCGGCAGCTCTTCAGAACAGAAAGCAGTCTTGAGGGCGTTCTTAGTTCAGCAGCTTGCCGGTCACTCAGGGGCCATCACAACGCTCCTGCTCTCCTACCCTGCTGTTTATACGGAAGGCGGTTGAGCCTTCTCTCAGCTGCTCCACTCATGGTTTCTGCTTACATGCAAAGCCTACCTAGCAGCCACAGTCACACACACACACAGACACACCATGGAATCAGCTCCTTGCATGGGGGGCCTGAAGGGCAGACGTAGCTCAGAGCCTCCTGCTACTTGCTGAGAAAAGAGGTCTCAGGGTGACAGCTCATTTTGGAAATGGTATGAAAGGCTGGGGACAGCCTAGGGTCGTGCAGAAGCCTATGCACTGAGATGCCACCACCCCTTTTTGGGTCCACTTACCCTTGCCAGTTTGGATGAGGTCTGGAGCTGAGTGATGGAGCTGCAGTCATTCAGCCCCTCACACAGGCTCCCAGTGTCTCCTGTCTCAATGACTCTGTTGGCCGCCTTGGCTGGAAAGAGCACAGGAGAAAAGGGAAGTCATGCTTTTGGAAACAGAACTGCTTTCCATGGGGGAGAGACTGAGGACAGGGTGGGGACAAGAAGAGAGCTGTGCACAGTGCATCTCCCTCCTGTACACAGGGCCCAGCCCGTGGGGCTCTGGTAGCGCTGCGGAGGAGAGCACAGGGCTGGTGCATCCCGCTCTACTCACCTTGCATTTGCAGAAGGGAGCTCAGGCAGGTGGCGGCCAACTGGCGGGATGTGGGCACGGGGTCACATGTCAGCGGAGCCAGCAATCCCACCAAGGAGCCAAAGGACTCACAGGCATCTCCTCTCTGCAGGGATGAGAGGCAGGAACAAAGCTGTAGGCAGCCCCAGCTCTCCCCAGCTTCTCCTGCCCGTGCCTTCCCCATGCCAGCATGCACAGCTGGGCAGAGCTCGCCTTCCAGCTCAGGGGTACTGGGGAGGGAGCAGGGGGCATGCAGTGGGGCTCTTTACTCACCAGAAGCTCTTCACAAGCAGCCAGCAGCTGGGAGCAGGTCTGCAGGGCCCTGTTACGCTCCCACATGTTGTTTGAGGTCAGTGATCTCTGCAGGACCTGAAGCAGAGCATGTCTCACCATGGACATTTTTCCCTTCGTGCCATCCCTCTCCCTGTCCCTCTTTTCCCAACAGTTTCCCTCAGGTCCTGCCCTGTGGCTCCACGTGGACCCCCGCCTCACTGTGCGCTGACACTGCTGCTCCCATTTTCTGCAGATACTGCTGCCTCCTAACCCAGGAGCTTTTCCTCAGCTGTGCCCTGCCAGGGGCTGGCTCCTGCCTTTCCCCCTGCAGAGCCCATTTCTCTGCCCATTTCTCAGCTCGCAGTGAGCTGGCCTGTTAGCAGGAGATTTCTCCCCCTTCGATCACACTCTCAGTCCCCAGCTCTCTGTCCCTGCTATCAACGGGCACCATGCTTCCTCCCTTGCCCCACACGTACTCACCTGGACTATGTTCTGGAAGAATCCCCGGGTGGTCTCTGTCTCAAGCAGGACCACCATGAGCCGGCCCAGAGCTTTCAACGATGTCTGCAGAAGCTGAAAGCAGGAGAGGGGATTGAGGTGTGGCATCACGGCTGCTGCTGGAGCATAGGCCGTGTGTGCTGAGGTAGGGCTCTGACACAGAGGTGGCCGGGAAAGTTACGGCAGGTTACCTGCAGGTACTGTGCTGCTTGCCGTGACTTCTTGATCTTCAGCATCATCTCTGCTGAAGGGTGTGACACAATGTTCTTGCAGCACAGAGCCAACATTTCACGTGCATCCTTGCTTCCTAAAGAGGGCTTCAGCTTGCTGACGGGAGGAACAAAAGGAAGAGAAAGCAGAAAGGGCCTTTACCACTGCTCTCCAGACTGGTTCAGACAATGTCTGAAGCTTCAGAAGCTACCCTAAAGGGGGACCACCATCTGCCTTGCAAGCCTAGAGCCTGCCACCCTTACCTCAACTGCTCCAGGGCCAGAATCACCTTGAGGGGCACTGGGGAGACAGGGGTGCCCAAGTAATACTTCTTCAGCAAGTCCTGCAAGTACCAGAGCAACATTGTCAAAGTGGGCAAGGGCCACAAGAGAGCTCTTCTGCCTGGCCCACAGACAGAAACAACTGCCACACACCAGCCCCATCGTTCCCACATTTCCCATGCAAGCACTGCAGGATGCAGCAGCTCCACAGCTGGTGGACCTAGCCCGCTGCCTGCTGCTGCCTGCCAGCACCCAAGGTCCCCACCAGCTGGAGATGTATGGCTGAGGGAGACCTGCATGGCTCCAGGGATGGGAGCCTCGTGGCACAGCCCAGAACTCCTCTACAGAGAGCCCTGGCTCTAGGCACTCACCATCAGGATCTCCAGCAGCTTGCTCTTCAAGGAGGGGTTAAAGAAGGCGGAGCCACCCACAGCATGGACAGCAGAGCTGAAATCAGTGATGCTCTGCACCAGCGCGAGCTTGTTCTGCAAGTCCTGAGGCCAAGAGAGAAGAACATTCTTGGAACTGTGGGAAGGGCCAGGGGCTGTCAAGGGGACACATGGGGCAACGCTAAGGGAGGGTCTTGGATCTTCATCTGGGCACAAACCATTCCCCAAGGGACCTTTGGAAAGAGAAGGCCCATCTCAGCATCCCCCCACATGGAAGGGCTGCAGCTGGGTGCTCTGACACCCTGGCAGACTTCGAGCTCTCACCTGGCAGCTGCAGCTGTACAGCAGCAGGATGTTGCCCACAATGTCTCCCTCCAGGCGGGCGAGCAGCTGCTCCTTGGAGGCTCGCAGTGCCAAGCTGCCATGGGCGAGGATGAGAGCGCTGCGTGTAGCCTGAGCTCTCGCGCTGTCCAGCTCCGTCTGTGTGAGGAGAAATGCCTTGAGACACTCGCTCAGCAGCCCCCAGTGCCCTGCGGTGCACCTGGGCTCCCAGGGCAGGAGCTGCTGTGAAAATAAGGCAGAAGAATGCCAAGATGGGAACCCGTAGCACTTTACCTTCTTGCGCCTGGAAATCCTCCCATTCCGGCCTTTGCACAGCCTGGACGCAAACATGGTGAGTGTGTCCAGGACTGTGTGGAAGTTGCTGTCAGCAGCAAGGCTGACAAGAGAGATCATTCCCTGCACAAAAGAACGAGGGGCAGTTGGCGCAGGCCTGAACCTGCTGGCGCGGCCCTCTGAGAAGCCCTCTGCCCCAGGGACAGAGCGGGGATGCTCACAGAGTTGGAGGAGAGGAGAGCTCACCTGG